ACATCCACCGCATCCCCGTGGAGGTGGGCTACCGGCGCGGCTACTTGGATGAGGAGATGAACCGGACCCTCTCCAACCCCAGCGATGACACCAAGGGCTTCTTCGACCCCAACACGCAGGAGAACCTCACCTACATGCAGCTGAAAGAGAGGTGTATTGAGGATCCCGAGACGGGGCTGTACCTGCTGCCACTGCGGGGGATGAGGAGATGAACCGGACCCTCTCCAACCCCAGCGATGACACCAAGGGCTTCTTCGACCCCAACACGCAGGAGAACCTCACCTACATGCAGCTGAAAGAGAGGTGTATTGAGGATCCCGAGACGGGGCTGTACCTGCTGCCACTGCGGGGAAACCGGCGGTGGTGGAGACCACCAAGGTGTACACTGAGGAGGAGACGCGGAAGGTGTTTGAGGAGACGCAGGTGGACATCCCCGTGGGCAGCAGGGCGGGCTCCTCCATGTCGCTGTGGGAGATCATGCACTCGGACCTGCTGCCCGAGGAGCAGCGGAAGCAGCTCATGGAGGAGTTCCAGTCGGGCCGCGTGTCCAAGGAGCGCATGATCATCATCATCATCGAGATCATCGAGAAGACCGAGATCATCCGGCAACAGAATCTCACATCCTACGACTACGTCCGGCGCCGCATCACGGCTGAGGACCTCTACGAGGCCAAGATCATCTCTGTAGACATCTACAACCTCCTGAAGCAGGGCTCCAAGACCTTCCGGGAGCTCCTCGACGTGGAAACCATCTGGAAGTACCTCTACGGGTCAGGCTGCGTGGCTGGCATCTACATCCCCTCTTCCAAGCAGAAGCTCAGCATCTACCAGGCTCTGAAGAAGGGGCTGATCAACTCCGAGGTGGCCCGTTCCCTCCTGGAGGCCCAGGCTGCCACTGGCTTCATGATCGACCCCATAAAGAATGAGATGCTGACTGTGGATGAGGCGGTCAGGAAAGGCGTGGTGGGGCCTGAAATCCATGACCGGCTCCTCTCCGCGGAGAGGGCCGTGACCGGTTACCGAGACCCCTACAGCGAGCAGAAGATTTCCATCTTCCAGGCCATGAAGAAAGACCTCATTCCCAGCGAGGAGGCTCTCAAGCTCCTGGATGCCCAGATAGCTACCGGTGGCATCATCGACCCGCACCTGGGCTTCCACCTGCCGCTGGAGGTGGCCTACCAGCGGGGCTTCATCAACAAGGAGACATACGACATGCTGTCCGAGCCCAGTGAGGTGCGGAGCTACGTGGACCCATCCACGGAGGAGAAGCTCAGCTACACACAGCTGCTGAAGCGGTGCCGGAAGGACGAGAACACGGGGCTGCTCCTGCTCCCGCTCTGTGACACCAGGAAGCTGACCTTCCGTGGGCTGCGGAAGCAGATCACCGTGGAGGAGCTGGGCCGCTCGCAGGCGATGGATGAAGCCACGGCCCAGCGCCTCCAGGAGGGCCTCACCTCTGTCGAGGAGGTCTCACAGAACCTGAAGAAGTTCCTGGAGGGCACCAGCTGCATCGCTGGTGTCTTCGTGGACTCCACGAAGGAGCGGCTGTCCGTGTACCAGGCCATGAAGAAGGGGATCATCCGGCCAGGCACTGCCTTCGAGCTGCTGGAGGCGCAGGCGGCCACGGGCTACGTCATTGACCCCATCAAGGGCCTGAAGCTGACGGTGGAGGAGGCTGTGCGGATGGGCATCGTGGGGCCCGAGTTCAAGGACAAGCTGCTCTCTGCTGAGCGGGCGGTCACTGGCTACCGGGACCCCTACACCGGGAAGCTCATCTCCCTCTTCCAGGCCATGAAGAAGGGTCTGATCCTGAAGGACCACGGGATCCGCTTGCTGGAGGCCCAGATTGCCACTGGTGGCATCATCGACCCCGAGGAGAGCCACCGTCTCCCCGTGGAGATCGCCTACAAGAGGGGCCTGTTCGACGAGGAGATGAACGAGATCCTGCTGGACCCCAGCGATGACACCAAGGGCTTCTTCGACCCCAACACGGAGGAGAACCTCACCTACCTGCAGCTCATGGAGCGGTGCATCACTGACCCGGAGACCGGCCTCTGCCTCCTGCCCCTGAAGGAGAAGAAGAGGGAGAGGAAGACCTCCTCCAAGTCCTCTGTCCGCAAGCGCCGGGTGGTGATCGTCGACCCGGAGACGGGCAAGGAGATGTCTGTGTATGAGGCCTATCGCAAGGGCCTCATCGACCACCAGACCTACCTGGAGCTGTCGGAGCAGGAGTGCGAGTGGGAGGAGATCACCACCTCCTCCTCCGACGGCGTGGTCAAGTCCATGATCATCGACAGGCGTTCGGGGCGCCAGTACGACATTGACGACGCCATTGGCAAGGGTCTCATTGACCAGTCGGCCCTGGACCAGTACCGTTCAGGCACCCTCTCCATCACCGAGTTCGCCGACATGCTCTCTGGCAACATGAGCGGCTTCCGGTCGCGGTCGTCCTCCGTGGGATCCTCCTCCTCCTATACTGTCAGCCCGGCCCCCACGCGGATGCAGATCTCCATGTGGAGCGACCCCACCGAGGAGACAGGGCCAGTGGCGGGCATCCTGGACACGGACACCCTGGAGAAGGTGTCGGTCACCGAGGCCATGCGCCGCAACCTGGTGGACA